CAAGTGCACATGGAATGAACATTCTCTAGAACAGATCACCTCTTAGGCCACAAGATAAGTCTCAACAAATTCAAACAGATCAAAGTCATACCATGCATCTTTTCTGAATACAACACTATGAAACTAGAAATCAATCACAAGAAAAACTCTGGAAAGAACACAAATGCATGGAGGTTAAACATAGATGCAAAAATCCTAAGCAAAATACTATCAAACCCAGTGCACATCACAACACGTGCCCTCCTTGCACTGGTGTTATATGTAACTAATGAATCATTGAACACTAGTTAGTGGCTAACTAAACATAATTTAAAAAGAGAAAGAAATGAGTACCTTAAAATAAATTGTTTTGTTGCAGTGAAAAAAAAATACTAGCAAACCAAATCTAACAATACATTTAAAAAAGAAATCATTCACTATGATCAAGTGGAATTTCACCCCAGAATGTAAGGGTGGTTCTATGAAAAATCCACAGTGAACATCATACTCAATGAGGAAAAACTGAGAGCTTTTCCCCTATGGTCAGGACCAAGATAAGGATGTCCACTCTCAACACTTTTATTCAACAAAGTACTGGAAGTCCTGGCCACAGTAGTCAGACAACAAAAAGAAATAAAAGGCATCCAAATCAGTAAGGAAGAAGGAAAACTTTCACCATTTTCAGATAATATGCTACTCTATATAGAAAACCCTAAAGATCCCACAAAAAATCCACTACAACTGGTAAATGAATTCAGTAAAGTCTCAGGATGCAAAATCAATGTACAGAAATCTGTTGCATGTCTATATACTAATAATGAAGCAGCAGAAAGAGAAATTAAGAAAATCATACCACTTACAATGTCACCAAAAATAGTAAAGTATGTAGGAATAAACAATCAAGGAGGTGAAAGACCTGTATTCTGAAAACTATAAAACACTGATGAAAGAAACTGAGGAAGGGACAACAAAATGGAAAGACATTCCATGCTCATAGATTGGAAGAACAAATATTGCTAAAATGTCTATAATACCCAAAGAAATCTACATACTTAATGCAATCCTTATCAAAATATCAATAGCATTTTTTACAGAATTAGAACAATCCTAAGAATTTGTATGGAACCACAAAAGACCCTGAATAGCCAAAGAAATATTGAAAAAGAAAAGCAAAGCTAGAGGCATCACAATTCTGGACTTCAAGTTATATTACAAAGCTGTAGTGATCAAAACAGTATGATACTGGCACAAAAACAGACACACAGATCAATAGAACAGAAGAGAAAACCCTGAAATAAACCTATAATTATATGGCCAATTAATCTTTGACAAAGCAGGAAATAATATCCAATGGGAAAAAGACAGGCTTTTCAACAAATGGTGTTGGAAAAACTGGACAGCCACAGGCAGAAGAATGAAATTGGACCACTTTCTTGCACTCTACATAAAAATAAATTCAAAATGGATTAAACACCTAAATGTGAGGCAGGTAACCATAAAAATCCTAGAAGAGAGCACAGACTGTAATTTCTCTGAGATCAGCTGTATCAATTTCTTACTAGATATGTCTCCTGAGGCAAGAGAAATAATAGCAAAAATAAACTATTAGGACTTCATGAAAATAAAAAGCTTTTACATGGTGAAGGCAATAATCAACAAAACTAAAACGCAACCTCTGAAATGGGAGAAGGTATTTGCAGATATATCCAATAAAGGGTTAGTATCCAAAATATATAAAGAACTTACACAACTCAACACCCAAAAAAGCCAAATAATCCAATTTAAAAATGGCCAGAAAACATGAACAGACATTTCTCCAAAGAAGACACAGAGAGGGCCAACAGACACATGAAAAGATGGTCAACACTACTCCTCATCAGGGAAATACAAGCCAAAACTACAATGAGCTATCACCTTACACCTGTCAGAATGGCTAAAATTAACAACACAGGAAACAATAGGTGTTGGTGAGGATGTAAAGAAAAAGGAACTCTTGGGGTGCCTGGGTGGCTCAGTCATTAAGCGTCTGCCTTCGGCTCAGGTCATGATCCCAGGGTCCTGGGATCGAGCCCCGCATCAGGCTCCCTACTTGGCGGGAAGCCTGCTTCTCCCTCTCCCTCTCCCACTGCCTGTATTCCCTCTCCCATTGTCTGTCTCTCTGTCAAATAAATAAATAAAATCTTTAAAGAAACCACCAGCATTTTTCACAGAACTAGAACAAATAATTTTAAAATGTGTACACAACACAAAGGACCCCAAACAGCCAAGGCAACCTTGAAAAAGACTAGCAAGCCTGGAAGCAATACAATTCCAGATTTCAAGTTATATTACAGTAGTTGAGAATATCACCCAGTGCTCATCATATCGTGTGCCCTCTTTAATGCCCATCACCCAGTTACCCTATACTCAACTAATGAATCATTGAACATTATATCAAAAACAATGATGTACTACACCTTGGTTAATTGAATTTAAGTTAAAAAAATTAAAATATTTTTAAAAATCAAGTTATATTACAAAGCTGTAGTCATCAAAACAGTATGGTACTGGCACAAAAACAGACACATGGATCCATGGAACAGAATAGGGAACCCAGAAATAAACCCACAACTCTATGGTCAACTAATCTTTAACAAAGCAGGAAAGAATATCCAATGGAAAAAAAATACAGTCTCTTCAACAAATGGTGTTGGGAAAACTGGACAGCAACATGCAGAAGAATGAAAGTGGACCATTCTCTTACACCATACACAAAAAATAAACTCAAAATGGATTAAGTACCTAAATATGAGACAGGAAACCATAAAAATCCTAGACAAAAGCACAGGTAATAATTTCTCTGACATCAGCTGTACCAACATTTGTCTAAATATGTCTCCTGAGCCAAAGCACATAATAGCAAAAATAAACTGTTGAGACTACATCAAGATAAAAAGGTTCTGCACAGCAAAGGAAAAAAATCAACAAAACTAAAAGACAACCTACAAAATGGGAGAATATATTTGCAAATGATATATCTGATAAAGGGCTAGTATCCAAAATCAATACAGAACTTATCAAACTCAACACACAGAAAACAAAAAGTTCAGTTAAGAAATGGGCAGAAGACATGGATAGATATTTCTCCATAAAAGACATACAGATGGCTAACAGACAGATGAAAAGATGCTCAACATCACTCATAATCAAAACCACAATGAGATATCATAACCTCACACTGGTCAGAATTGCTAAATTTAATAACTCAGGAAACAACAGATGTTGGTAAGGATGCAGTAAAAGGGAAGCCCTCTTACACTGTTTGAGGAATGCAAACTGGTACAGCCAATCTGAAAAACAGTATGGAGGTTCCTCAAAAAGGTAAAAATAGAGCTACCCTATGATCCAGTAATCACACTACTGGGTGTTTACCTAATAAATACAAAAACACTAATTCAAAGAATACATGCATCCTGATGTTTATAGCAGCATTATCTACAATAGCCAAAATGGAAACAGCCTAATTGTCCATCAACAGATGAATGGATAAAGAATATGTAGTGCATATATACAATGGAATATTACTTAACCATCAAAAAGAATTAAATCTTGCCATTTGCAATACATGGATGGAACTAGAGGGTATCATGCTAAGTGAAATAAGTCAGAGAAAGACAAATACCATATGATTTCACTCATATGTGGAGTTTAAGAAACAAAAGAAGTGAGCCAAGGGGGGAAAGAGAGAGAAACAAACCAAGAAACAGACTCTTTTTAAAAGATTTTATTTATTTGAGAGAGAGAGAGAGAGCAAGAGAGAGAGCACTAGAGGGGAGAGGAGCAGAAAGAGAGGAAGAAGCAGACTCCCAGCTGAGCAGGGAGCCCAACACAGTGCTCCATCCCCAGACTCTGGCATCATGACCTGAGCCAAAGGCAGATGCTTAACCAACTGAGCCATCCAAGTGCCCATGGAACAGACTCTTAACTATAGAGAACAAACTGATATTCACCAGAGCGGAGGTGGGAGGGGGAATGGGTGGACTAGGTGGTGGGGATTAAGGAGTGCACTTCATCGTAATGAGTACAGGGTGACCTACAGAAATGATGAATCACTATATTGTACACCTAAAATTAATATTACACTGTATGTTAACTATACTGGTATTAAAATTAAAACTTAATTAAAAATGTCTTTACCAATCATAGAGCACAGTAAATATTTGCATGTGGAATATGTCCTTACACAATGTACACATCTGAATCTGCTCTAAAATTTTGCATAAAAAAAGGAGGTATAAGTCTTTGAAACAGGGTTGGCAAATGCAGAGACTGAAGCTATATAATTGCTACATGGGGTTGCTATAATTTTCTCTCCAATTTCATATGTTTGAAATTGTCCACAATAAAAGAAATTAAAAAGAAATAAATAGGGGTGCCTGGGTGGCTCAGTCGTTAAGCGTCTGCCTTTGGCTCAGGTCATGATCCCAGAATCCTGGGATTGAGCCCCGCATTGGGCTCCCTGCTCGGCAGGAAGTCTGCTTCTCCCTCTCCCACTCCCCCTGCTTGTGTTCCTTCTCTCGCTGTGTCTCTCTCTGTCAAATAAATAAAATCTTTTAAAAAAAAAAAAAGAAAGAAAGAAAATGCATTCATCTTTAAGTTTTAAAAAATATTGTAGAGCCTTAGACCAGGCAATTGAAGTTCTAAAGATTTATTGAAGTAAAATCTGGATGCAAACTATATTCATATGGTGAAAGAATTGCATACAACTAAAAAGATCCCACAATTGTACATTATTTAAACAAATCATGTTTAGCCATTCTAAAAAACCCAAAAGAGTATATAAGTACATACTTATTGAAATAGAATAATGTTTAAGACACAGTGTCCAGTAGAAAACCAGATTACAAAGTTTCACAATCCACACATAATACTAGTAGCCAATATTTCCAGGTCAGCTTTCTGTTGCTACTTTTGTGTATCTATTTTTTCTATTAAATATACATAGACTATTTTAAAAAGAATAATAAAAGATAAAAGTAAATTTTAAGTTAGCTTGAAAATTGTTGATCATTTTTAGAGTAACTATAGAATGTTTTACAAAGGGAAAAGTCAAAATAGAACAAAGTTCTTCCTCCCCAACAAGTCCTGAAAGACACCCCAATGGAGACATCCAAAGTCCAAATAAAATATTCACCACCATTCTCCTTCAATCAGGTGTTTCGGTGTGCTTAATATACAGAAGGCTTCGCAATGCATGATGAACCTCCTTATTCCTCAGGGTGTAGATCACAGGATTGAGAAGAGGGGTGACCACAGTGTAGAGCAGGGCAAAGACCTTGGAGCGGAGCTGGGAGTGGATGGCAGAGGGTGCAATGTACAAAACCATGAGAGTTCCATAGAAGGTGGACACAACTGCCAGGTGGGAGGAGCAGGTGGAGAAAGCCTTTCGCCTCTGGTTCCCCGCAGGGACCCTTAGCACAACTACCATGATCCGGGCATAGGATGTCAGAATCAGTCCAAAGGGGGCAGTGAGGCAGACCACAGAAAGAATGAATGTTGTCATCTGGATGATGCTGGGATCCGAGCAGGCCAGGCCCATCAAAGGCATGAAGTCACAGTAAAAGTGGTCAATGTGGCTGGGGCCACAGAACCTCAGTTGACCCATTAGGGCCACAACCAGTCCATCTACCATAAAGCCAGACAGCCAAGCAATGAGCACCAGCCCCAAACACCCTCTGGGCCCCATCAGGACAGGGTAGCGGAGTGGATAACAAATCGCCAGGTAGCGATCATAGGCCATGACGGCCAGCATGAAGCATTCAGCCGTGGCTAGAGAGCCAAAGATAAAGAACTGGAGCAGGCATCCGGCCACAGAGATGGCTGCCTCCTGCAAGAAGCCCTGCAGCATTTTTGGCACCACTGTGGAGGTGTAGAGGATCTCCAGGAAAGACAGGTTAACCAGGAAGAAATACATGGGTGTGTGGAGACTCTGTGAGCTAACCACCACCACAATGATTAGCATATTCCCCACAACAGTGGAGACGTAGATGACAGTGAACACAATAAAGAAAAGGAGATGCAGCTCAGCTATGTCATGGAAACCAAGGAGGACAAATTCTGTGATAGTTTGGTTTTCTAGAGCAACCATTTCCATGGGGATGATCCAAGCTGCTCTCTGGCAGAGATTAAGGGAGATATTCTGGTGCATCTCTTCTCCTACACCAACTCCGAGAAAACTAGGGCTAAAAGGAAAATGATGAGAGTGAGTCTCCAGAACAAAAGTCCCTTGCACGTCCTCACCTCTCCCTCTTTGTAGTGGCTTACTCCTTGTCCAACTCCTGTTCCTGGAGCTGTCCTTAATTGTGCATGTTCTCCATGGCTCCAGAGAGTTTATCCAAACACCAGTGCAGTCTTCAGAGCCCTCCACCCTATTAATTCAACTCAGTGTTTCTGTGACACAGTGAATCCACCATCCTAATCTGTAGAACCACCCACACAGCCTTCCTCCTGAACAACACCCTCCAAATGCCTGCTAGACACACAGCTAGACACAGCTCAAAATCAGCATGATCAAACACAAATTCCTCTATCCTTCCCAACCACAACCAAGCAAGTGAGTGGTACAAAATTCTGCTTTGATACTGAGCTTACCATATCATAGTCATTTTCATCTGAATTTCCTCTCCCGTTCCCCACCCCCAGTCAGTGACGTCCCTCACACATTCCCTCCTCCTTATACACCACTCACTTCAAAGCCCCTTCATGACCATCTCAGCACAGTTATCTCTGTGTGGCCTGCTAGTCCCCAATTTTCCCTCTCCCTTAGCAAGACAATCTTCTTTAAATTCTTGTTTCATCAAGTCATTCCAGATTTTATAGTGGAAATGTGATCAGTGATAGTGCTGGGAAGTATAGGTGCTGTGGGAACAGAGACCAAATGCAGAGGAGTAGAGGAGGTGTGAGAATCTGGTCAGGGAAGGTAGTTTGTAGGCTCAGTTTTGCAGGACAGGGAAGAGCTGGCCAGGCAACAGGCAGGAGAGTGGGCAGAGCATTCTAAGCAGGGGAGGCATCCATGAAAGCAAAGATATGTCACTGAATTTTGAAGATCTAAAAATGGGTCTGTGTACCTACAAGGAAAATCTCCTATGCTATCCAAAGTGATGTGTGGGGTTTTATATTGAAAACATTAAGAGTACATCAAATGATTGGGAGCATAATGGAAAGATACAGAAACAAACCCCTTATATTCATTTATACATACACACACACACACACACACACACAGGCATACCAAATCCTAACAATGTTATTTTTTAGGCTGCAGGATTGATAAGCATATATTCTGTTTATTATCACATAAAATATAAGTTCTCTTTAATACAGAGAGGCTAAAACATCAGTTGCCTAAGAGGTGGACCTGGATGGCTGAGAGCCAAAGGTGGGTGGGAGACTTCACTTCACGCTATTTTGTACTTCATGCCCAAGGCCACATCTGCCTTTTTCATATATTCCAGAGTCCCATTCCCCTGCCTGCTCTGACTATGAAATATTCGAAGGTCCAGTTTACATTTCATCTTCTCCATAAAACCTCCTTGACCAGTAGAGCCCTTTACTTCTTGAGCAATCATGCACTAAGTATATAGTGTAGAGAAGATATTATGCCAGGTGCTGAGTATTCTAGGTCAAATGAAACCGGTCCATATGCTCATGGAGCTTACAATCTTATGTAGAAAATGGACACATCAACAAATAATTGCAATACACTAAAAGAGAGCTCATGAATCTAACCTGTAAGAAACAGTCCTGGGGGGTGGGGTGCCTGGTTGGCTCAGTCGTTAAGCGTCTGCCTTCGGCTCAGGTCATGATCCCAGGGTCCTAGGATCGAGCCCCACATCGGGCTCTCTGCTCAGCGGGAAGCCTGCTTCTCCCTCTCCCACTCCCCCTGCTTGTGTTCCCTCTTGCTGTCTCTCTGTCAAACAAATAAATAAAATATTTAAAAAAAAAAAAAAGAAAGAAAGAAACACTCCTGGGAGGAAGTGACCCTGGACTGATGTGATGGCTGTGGAGAACAGAAGATATGGAGGTGAGGACATTTCAGGTAAAAGGAAAATGAGCAGTAGAAACTGAGGCCAGAAACCACATAGAATATGAAGAGGGGAAGGGGGAGTCAGGGGGAAAGTAGCCAAGGACAATTAAAAGAATTTCACTTCTGGAGAAGCATTAGGATTGAGGCAAAGAACATGGAAGGTAAGGATGGAGAGGTGGTCCAGGACCAGAGCACAGGGGTCCTGTCCTGTCACAAGGAGGAACTGGAGCTCTATCCTATAGGCACCAGGGCACACCTGAGGCTTTTAGAAACTGGGAAGATGGGGTCCACCTGCACTTGGATGGTATTGAGGAAGCTGGGCCCAAGGTAACCAGAATGGAAGAAGGAAGATTCCACACAGCTGGAACCTGGGGAGCAGGTGCACTGCCTTGAAGTGATCATTCATTATTCTGTTGTTTGCACTTTCTCTTCCTGGGAAAGACTGCTAGTTCCTCTATCACAGAGATTACAATTTATATCCACCACACTCAGGAAAGTTCTAAACAAAGATGAAGGCTCAATAAACACTGATGTTTAAAACCACCTGTACCACAATTAAAGCCCATGTGAAGTGGGGCTTCTGCACTCCATGGACCTAGAAATCCCAGAAGTTTTGTTACTGTCCTATTTCATATTCTATACCTCAGTGTTCTTCCTTGTGGTATGAATTTGGCTTTCCTTTGAGGACCTCCTGTAGCCCCTAGATCATTTATGCAACCCAAACCCAATCTGAGGGGTGGGTCCTTTCTACACCATTGCTCTCCCAGGAGAGGAAGGAATGCAAACCAGTCCAGAACCTTCAGTCATAAATAACTCACCATCACCCCAGGAATCAGTGCCAAAAGTGGATCATACTGACACAGCCATTTATCCCTATAGTGGACCAAGATTTTCATACCTATAGATTCCACTTATTCACTCTCCAGGTCATAAATGAAGTGGAATCCTTCTTTCTTGTGGCAGCATTCAGCTGGCTGAAACCAGAAAGAGGTGGAGTGGAAAACAGCAAGATGAGGACAAACATAAGGTTAATGATTTTGTTGTGAAATTCATGTGTGCCTATTGAAACCCATCTCATGACTTTTTTCATGAAGGGAGCAATGTTTTATTTCCCTAACTCCAACTATCCTGGAGAGGAACCAGGATTTCAGGAAATGGATTTCAGGGAATGCAGAGTGAGGATGAAAGCAAGTCAGGTGAACCAAAGGAAATGAAGTCCCATTGACCTCCAAGTACAAGAGCATCAGCAGTCAGAGGCATATGTCCCTGGGTGGCAATCTCTAGGGCACCATTAAGACCTCAGTCTTGGCAAAACCCAGCCCCCCCCCATACACATACACAATATGAGGAGAACAAACACATTACAATGTCCCCAACACCACTGACCTTCATTATGCCACTGAATAAATGCTAAACAATGCCAACCTATCCAGGGATATGGTCAGAAAAACAAGAGATGAGAATGGAAACAAAGGGTGAAATACAAATGTTAGGGGAGCTTGGGGTATTAAGCCATTTTCAAAGGCCAAGGTGGTGTCATCCACCTATACATGAGCTAGTCAACCTCAGTTTCCATCCCCAGTGGAATATCTAATTTCAATTACTGTGTGTATGGTCTCAGAATCCACTAGCAGAGCTTCTGGAAATATGGTTGTATTCTATCTCCCAAATCAGATTGTTCTTAGGAGTTTTTTTTAAAGTTCATTCTTGTGAAAACTAGTTTTATATTGTAAGATAACCCTCGCCTTTCAGGCCACTGCATCCCAGACCTGTTTTTCAAGGAGTGAAGGGAGTGAAGGAAAGCAAAGAGGTATGGGGGGTGTGTAGAGTCACTGGAGGAGAGGCCACTATGCCCCAGAAACAGAGAGGGGCCATCAAGTAGGGAAGGAGCTGAATTTTGTGCTTGAAGACCCCATTCTAACAGGGAGGAAAGTGAAAATAGTGCAAAATATCCATTTTTTGAAAAACACCCAATCACAGGCTCAACCTTGTACAGATAAAAGTCATAGCAGGGGGTCCTCAGTTAAAAATATCACCATTGATGGAAATACAAACTGAATTTTAATTTTTCTTTGGAAAATGAAGAAAATTTATTCCCATATATCTTGTAATATCTGGTAAACATGTTATTTTTATAAACAGAAAACAATAAATAAATTTTCATTTAGTTTGAATTCTTAATTTAACTCTCTTTAGTCTTCTTTGGCATTTACTCTGTAATAAAGTAGAAAATATACTAAATTTTTTTAAAGAAAACATGACATTAGGCATATCCCAGATCTGTTATCCCATGAGAAAGAGGATAAATCTCCATCATGAAGGAAATTGGTGTGAAGGTGTCCTACTCCAACTGAGGCTGCTTCATGAAGATCTACGGTCCACCTCCAGGAGACAAGGAAATGAGCAGGGTACAGAGGGGAGACTGAAAACCATCATCTTAAGGTCCCAGTGATAGAAGTGGCAACAATAGGATTCTGGAGGAACACTGTAGAATTTCCTTAAAAACTTTTGAAAAAGAGACTTTTGACTCTCTGAGTTAAAGGAAATGTGTTACTGATTAGAGGAGAAAACTCTGCAAAGACCAATTCTTTAGATTTCTAAAAGGATCTGTGAACTAAGCTGCAAAGAATTATACAAAAATAGGAAACTCACCTGAAATAGCAATCCTAAAGGAAAACCGTGAGTAGGAGAATATGTGCTAAGGTGGGCTGAGGGCTTCAGAATATTGACATTTCCTGCCTTCATTGCTCTCCCTCTGTGAGTTCAAGCTGACGTCATGCAGGGCACTGATTAGCAACAGCTCACCAGTCACTCTCAGCACCCTAGACCCATTCTCTCCTCCACTCTGTGTCTCCTCTGCCAGCACCCAGACTCCTGTGATCTTTCCTTGTAGGTCCTTCCTTTATCACAGGGAAGCTGACAATTGCCCAGAGGGGAGAGGCAAGCCCCTGAGAGCCAATTACAGATTTTCTGGAGAGCAGCCCTAAATGCACAAGAAAGACCAGCCTCCTGAGACACTTGTCTCTTTCCAGAGGAGTTTCCTGAGCTGTTGACTTGACCAGAAATGGAGCAGAAACCAAGAATCAAATCCACACAGGGACTGATGCTCTCCCCCAGCAGCTCATTCCCAATCCCCAGTCTCTTCCACCAAACTCATCACAAAATTCCCCAGAGTTCTCTGAAATATCCCTCTACCACCACTAAAAGTGGTCCTCCCAGAACCCTACTCTGAACTCACTCCCTATCATGCTGCCTCTAAGCTCAATCACCATGCCAGACAATACAGCTGACCCTTGGATCATCATGGAGCACCAACTCCCATGCAGCTGAAAACCCACGTATAAATTTGACTCCCCAGAAACTTAACTACGAATAGCCTACTGCTGACCAAAAGCTTTACCAGTAACATAAACAGTTTATTAGCACATATTCTGTATGTTATGTGTATTATACACAGTTTCTTACAATAAAGTAAGCTAAAAGAAAGAAAAATGTTAAGAAAAGGAAGAGAAAACACATTTACAGTACTGGACCGTATTTATAAAAAAAAAAGTCTGCATGTAAGTGGATCCGTGTTGTTCAAGAGTCAACTGTATTTCTATAGAGACAACCCTTCAGTGGAGTGTTTTATGTAGATGGTCAGAGGTTGCCAGAACTGGGCCTTCTTTTAGTGGAGGGAAGCTGGCATTTCACTACAATGTCCAAATGTCACAGCAATCCAACATGTCTTAAGAGTTAACTGGTTTCAAGCTTATGTGCTTCTTGCTTGCTGACCTAAGTCTGTAGCAGAAATAGTCTACTTTCCTTGAGATTTGCAGACCACTGGCCTTTTAGGAGTGAAGGACCAGACTTTCCCAAAGATAAGGCCTGACCGCATTCAAAAACAGCTGCCACA